ACTAGGAAACTTAAGTATAATCGGACATTTTAAAGAAAGAGCTAAATAGGTAAGAAGTAAAGGCCCTAGTAATACGGCTCTATAAATTATAGTAAAAGATATAGGAAAATATAATACAAGTATAAAAGTATTATATTACCTAAGCTAATAAATATTACCGACTAGTAAACTTCAGAATAGGAGATAAGATATGAATTACTACTAAGTACTAGAAGAATAACTATCCGAGCTATAAGCTAGCCTACTAAATAGAAGAATTATACGAAATCCTGGAATAAATAGGATATTTCTTTAAGCTTAAGCTTCCGGAATTAATAAGAATATATCCGGTATTCTATATAGAGAAGCTATATAAGGATCTAGGTAATTCTCTTTCCGGATAAGCAAATCCGGAGCCTCTACTATTAGAACTATAAAACGGGGAAACGGAATACGAAGTTCAAGAGATACTAGTAGTAAAGCTATTCTATAGGAAGCTCAAGTACCGAGTCTAGTAGAAAGGATAGAATCCAGATCCGGAGTAGTATCCTATATCCTTATTAAGTAATAGTATTCTGGCTCTTTAGAGCTTCTATAACAAGAACCCCGAATAGCCAGGACCGCCCCAGAACCTCTCCTATTAGTTAGACTATACCAAGAATAATAGACTACCGGAACTATATAATACGGACGGAAATTCTTATAAGTTGCATATAAAAGGCCCTGGCCTTTCGTATATAACTATAACTTGAGAATTCGACAGGAACTTTCGAAGTTCGGGAACGAGCTTACTTCGAGGGAGGAGTAATATTACGGTTATTATAATACGGTACTAGTAGGGATTAGACTAGAGCTAGCTAGGCATCTGGTATCTGAGTAAGGCATCTGGTATCTGAGTAAGGCATCTGGTATCTGAGTAAGGCATCTGGTATCTGAGCGTGATATCTATAGTCACCTAATAGTTATACGTAACCCTGTACTTAAGCTAGTATATGGGCCCGTATATAGCTCGCAATTATTTAGATCCGAGGCTTCTTCGAGATCCTCTTCTCTCTTTAGCTTTGAATCATTGAAATAGAGACAGTCTAACCACGCCTTCCAGGCCCTAGATCTTGTACTCGTAATAGCCCGTATAGAAATACTAAACTTATATAGCTTTTATTTATATTACTTGTATTTTATTTACTTATATTTTACTTTAGTTTATAATTATAATTACTTACTTATACTTTATTTTAATTTATAATTATAATATCTTAATTAATCTAACCTAAATTAAATTAATTATATTATTCTAGGTATTACTGCCTTTAATTAATCTTTTACTTCTCCCTAAAGAATAGCTAGCGAACTATAATATATACTTTATACCTTGAGTAATAGGCCCTATATTATATAATAATTCAGGGGTAAAAAAGGAAGAGAGAATAAGAAAGAGAAGAGCCTATAGGTAAGTTAACGGATTTATTTACGGGCAGGCTAACTTTTCTAGGCCTGTAAACCTATTACTCTAGCTACTTATAACTCCGTAATCTCGGCTGCTTTCTTACTTGCGAACCCTGCTAGTACCGAAATACTAAATTAAATCAGTATTAATTTCGTATTCAGAATCTAAACCCTTCTCCTATCTATACCGCTCTTGCGAATTATATCTAGCTTCGGCAGCAGGCTACTAGCAAGAAGAAGAGGGGATAGGCCGGATACCGGGTAATTACGATTAATAATTATATACGAGAGCCGACCCAAGAGAAGGAGCAGGAGCTCCAGAACCGGCAGTAATAGCGTGAGGATAGGAAGGCAAAGAGGAGGGTTTGGGAGAGAGAGAGAAAGGGATTATTACGAGAAAATTATTTAAAAAGGGGGCAGCCTAAAGGAGAGTTTGAGGCGTAGTAGGAGGAGAGGTTAAAGGAGAGGCAGAGAGCAGATGAGTTTCTAAAAGTAAGGGATAAGGCAAGGAGGAAAATAAAGAGGGATGGAGAGAAGCGGGCAGAGTGGATAGAGAGGGAAGAACGGGAGAGGAGGGAGAGGGAGAGGGAAGAGAGAGAGGAGAGAGAGGGGCAGGCTAAAGAAGAAGCTTGCGGACCAGTAGAGAGGCAGGCTTGCGAGCTGAGAGAGAGGCAAGCGGAGTTATATATAGACGAATACGAATATTGCAATGATTATTAGCTTTAATTCCAGGGCAAGTGAGGCTTGGGAGGGCCCGCAAGAAGGAGAGAGCTCTGCGGGCGTAAGTGAGGCTTGGGAGGGAAGGAAGAGCCCTATAAGTAAGGGTGCAAGTAGGAGTGAGGCTTGGGAGGGGCCGCAAGAGGAAGAGAGCTTTGCGGGTGAAAGTAAGGCTTGGGAGTGAGTTACGGGTGAGAGTACAGATAGTAAGGGGCTTGCAGGGCGAGTGAGGCTTGGGAGGGCCTGTAAGGGGAAAGGGGGAGCTTTGCGGGTGAGAGTGAGGCTTGGAAGGGAGCTACGGGTAAGAGTACGGGTGGTAACGGGCTTGCAGGGGCAAGTAAGGCTTGAGAGGGCTGGCAAGAGAGCCAGAAGATCCGAGAGAGCTTTATAGTTCCGGTAAATGGCCTACAAAAGCAATACTACTCCCTTGCAATCGAAAAAAGCCTCTTATAGACTTTGGCCAGTTCTATACTTGTAATACGTACCGGGAACGGAACAAGAAAGCAAACCGGGCCCGGTATATAAAGCAAAAAGCTAAAGATTTAAATAAAAGCTCTTAAAAAGACTAATTTCCCGTATGCTTATACGTTATATTAGTGCGAGCTTGCGAGTGCAATGTGGCTATACTTAAGGAGAAGGTTTTATAAGTAATAAAGAGCTCAATAATTACAAGTAAGGCTTAATATAGCCTATAAAAGAAAAGAAAGAGCTCTATATTAAAGCTAAAATCGTTTTCTTAATCTCGTATTATACTTATAATAATAATAATAATTTATTATTAAAGAAAAATATAAAGATATTATTATTACGGGTATAATATTCAGGGCTTGGAAAGCAAGGTAGAAGGTCCCTTACGAAAACGATTCGAAGCTAAAGGAGGAAAGACTAGAATATAGGAGGCTGCGAGGGTAAAGTATACCTGTAATATACTAAGCCCGTAAGGGGCTTAGTATTCTAAATATCTCTATATACATTCCCATACTAGCTATTAGGTAATAGAATATCGAAACCTGAACTATAATAATTATTAAATTATTACTTATAATTAGTAAGGCTAAAGCTAACTCGTAAAAAATCCAATTAAATACTATTATTATAAGCTATTAAAAACAAATATAAGGCTATAATTAAATTATTACTTAAAATTAATTATATTGAAATTAATTTAAGAAATAAGATTTTTAATTAAATATTATTCTTGCAAGCTATAAAAATAAATATATAATTATTATTAATTTATTACTTGAAACTACCTAAATTAAAGTTAACTCAAAAGATAATAGTAATTAAATTCTATTCTTATAAGCTACTAATAAGAAGTACGAGACTATTATTAAGTTATTACTTAAGATTAACTAAGTCGAGATTAATTCGAAAGATATATATTACCGGATACTGCTTTTACGGGCTACTGAGAACAGGTACGAGGCTATTATTAAGCTATTACTCGAGACTAACCATCTTTCTTTCCGCAGAACTTCTCGAGTATCCGTATGCCTAGGGTTTCGTTATTACTGAATGAGGAATTGTCCGCCCAGTGAGCGATTTCTTTGCTTATTCAGTTGATCCGTCGGTTCCAAGATACTGTGAAAACCGAGATACGTTTCATCCACCCCTTTTGAACCCGAGGGAGGACATTTTGCGGCCTGGAGGGCAGTATATCGCATACAGGTCATGAATTCTTCGGCGAGGACATAGAAAAGCCATTCATCCTCTTCGCTGTTGAATTCAGCGTTGCCAAAGCGAGTACCGTATGAGTCGCACGTCAAAGTCCGGAAGAAAGCCTGCCGCCAAGGGATTTCGGTTGGGTGTTTCGCTTTAACGGAGTCCGATGTTGCGAGCAGTGTGGGCAAAAACTACTCAAGCTACTCAAGCTACTCTAGAGTAGTCTTGAGTAGAGTAGAGTAGAGTACTACTCTAGAGTAACTCAAGAGTAGTCACGTGCAAGTCACGTAAATGTAATAAATCGATATTTATTTAATTATTAATAAATAAATAAGGTACATATTAAGTAGCACTATATAATTTTAGCTAGAGCTTATATAAGGCTACTTAAATACCACTTTTCTTTTATAAAAACCAGATTTCCCTCCTCGAAATCTTTCTTTTCCTGCTTTTTTTCTTCTCCTTTTACTTCTTCTAATTCGTCTTTAAATAACCCCCAGCTTTTTAAGTAAGATATTATCTTAATAGTACTCTTATTAAGTCTATTATATAATTTAAATAATAAGAGTACCTTGAGAGAAGAGTTTGCCCTTAATAGCTAAGGAAGCCTATGAATATATTAAGGTTCTAGCTTGCTTACTAAGCCTTGCCACTACTTAATTGGGCAGTGCAGTAGCGCTAGACTCGGGCTACCCCGGAGCCTTACCTAATTAGGCTAGTGTGTCACGTGTAACATCACGTGGAGTATCACGTGCATACTACTCAACTACTCTAGAATATTCTAGAGTAGTTGAGTAGAGTATTGAGTAGAGTATGAGTAGTGAGAAATTTATTTGAGTAGAATATGAGTAGGCCCCACTACTCTACTCTACTCTACTCATTTCCCACACTGGTTGCGAGTGCAAGCCACTCCCAAATCCACTCTTGCTCTGTATCCAGCGGGGACTTTGGTAGTTTGACAGTTCCCGGGTCGTTGATATCGAGTATTTCGCCGTAAATTATTCCACGTGCACGGTGGATATCCGAGTCGGGGAAAGTAAACTCAGCTTTCCTGTTTTTGGCTACGCGATAAACTTTCCACCTTGTTGAAATTGGTACGCTACTATAGCTAGCTTACCAGTCCTTCCAGCACCAGGTTCAACCACTCATTTAGGATTCTCCACTCTCATTTGTCATGCGTCACTCGCCGAGCCTACCAAGCTTACTAGTATATCGTCATTTTGATTACCTTTGATTTATTAGCTAATTAATAATATATCAGAGAAAGCGGGCTCGGTATTACCGGTATCGCCAAAGGGTAATGGGAATAAATCCCTTACTTTGGATACTTTTCCTCTGTTTCTAGAACTCACTCTTCTATATCTAGTCATTATGCAGTCTGTCAACCTTTAATATATCGATTACTTTACAATACACCTCCATGGGAGGTCTACAACATTTCGTCTCCCTAAAGATCGTCTGACGTATTCTGGAACCCAACTTGAATAGTTCATCCTCGTAGAAGCGGTAGGATGCGCAAAGCGAAACCCAGCGAGGGATATAGCATCTAATCGCAAAGTTGCATGAACCAAGCCCATAGTGAACATTATATTGATCTTTTCAAAAGTGAGTTCGTAGCTTGGTTGCATTGGCAACTATTGACTATCAATGGACCAAATATACTATAAAATCTGTCTCGAGGGTCTGTACAAAAGAATCCCAAAGTCCGTTTAATCAGAGACAGTATGTCGGGCTCTATATTCCTTCGTCCCAATTGTTCGATGGCAAGGAAGCTCAAATCTCAGACCGAAGAAAAGTGACCATGTGATAACATGCGATCAATGTCGACACTAAGCAGATGGTCGTCACTGAGATTCGATGTGCTCCGAGTTGTCCTCCAAAAATCGACGGTCAAGTCAAACTTGTCGAAGTCAATTAACTCTTCGCCGCAGAGTATCAATCGAGCCTTGTGTTGAATTGGTACTAGCTTACTAGTCCTTCCAGTACCAGGTTCAACTACTAATATTAGCTTCGCCACTCTCATTTATAATGGTTTACTATGGAAGCCTATGGAATAGCTCACTATGGAAGCTCAGGGAACGCTCACTAATATATATGAGTCATCTGATTTATAATATACTGGAGGAAATCGCCACCCACTAGTGGGTATATAAGAACTGTACTTTAGATTCCCTCCTCTCCTTTTTTACTCTTCACTCTCCTGTATCTAGTCATTTTACAGATTGTCAACCTCCAATATATCGATTTATCATCAATAAATCGATCACTTTCCAATACCTTGGCTAGAACAACCTCTTGGATAATCCACATCCGACTCCAGTAGCTCCTCATCAGCAAAGAATCGACTGCTTGAATGCTCCACTTATCAACCGGTTCGTCGACGAATGACATGACTGTCCATAAAGGTCTGGTTCAAAATCGTCCTGGAACGAGCCTCTGAGCAGAGAGAATACCGGCATGCCACCTCCTGAGGAAAGCTATTGCAAGGTTGCTATTGTTCTCTTCTTCCCCTAACCATATAATAGCACTATCCGCTTGAGAGTAAATCTTTCCTATAAGAGGTAGCTAATGATTTTTCTCTAATACGAAGGTTTAATTAATATATATTACATTAATCCAAAATCTAGTAAGTTCTTTCTAATAGTATAACCTCTTTAAGGCTATAATTAAATTTGTTATAACTTGAAATAAAGTTCTAATAATATTAATTTCTTTAATAATATTAGTATTATTTCAGGTATATAAGAATATAATATATATTAGAGATATTCTTAATTCTATTATACTAATATTATAAAGCATTTTATTATTAAATTCTAAAAATAATTTAATTATAACTAGTTTAATTTTATTCGAGCTATTTTAAAGAGGCTTATAAATAGAAATAAATGAGTTTAATATAAATATCTTAAAAGTATAAATCTTAAAATAATTTAAACTATAATTTAAATATTTTTAAATATATTATTATTAAATAAAAAGATAATAAATAAATAATATTTAGCTTATAATACTATTCTGTTTTAAATAGCTTATTATATATATATATATATATATTAGAATTTAACTAATATAATTATTTAATAAACTTATATTTAATAAATTACTTTTATATTAAATATTTTATTATAAATTAATATCTTTTTATGAGATTTTTTATATATTCTAGTTTTAATTAATTATAATTATATAAGTTTAAAAGATTATATTATAAAATAGTTATATTTAAAATAAAATAATTTAATATATTTTATTTATATTTTAAACTAAAATATAAAAGCAAATAATATTAGAAATTATCTAATTTACTAAATAAAAGCAAATACAATATTAATTCTTATAATATAAAATTCTTATAATTTTATATTATATTTAATTATTAAAAAAATTATATAAAAGTTAAATATACTTCTTTTCTATTTTATAAAGCTATTTTAGAGGGTTTTAGAAATTATATTAAAACTTAATATAATTTTCTAATAATAGTATTTTCAGTATTTTTTAATATTATTTGCTTTTATAATTCGAGCTATAATTATATAAAAGTAGCTATTACCTAATTAGTTTTATTTAGCTAGCTAGTATTTTTATTTTTATTTTTATTTTTATTTTTATTTTTATTTTTATTTTTTTTAATCTTTTTTAATTTTTATTTAATTTTTATTTAATTTGTTTTTAACTTAGTATTTTTAATATATAAGATTCTTAAATTTTTGAGCTTTAGTTATTGTCTTAATTCTTTTATTATAATAATAATATAATTCGAATTGCTTTTATTTAAATTATATTAATTTAGCCTAATAAAACTTAAAATAAACTAAAAATTTATATTAAAATTAAAACTATTTTAGCTAATAATTCAAAAGTTTATATTACTCTATTTTAAATTATAATATTTTTTATTTTTTTTATTTTTTTATTAAAAATATTATTAAAAATATTATTTATAATAATATAATATTCTTTTAAATATTAATTTTAAATATTTAAATTTTAGACTTGCTTTTTAATATAAAATTCGAAATTATTAGTTATTTTAAAAGTAATTAGTAATTATAATATATAAAAACCCGTTTTATATAAATATATATTTTTTAATTACTAGTATTTGCTAATAATTAAATAATAGTATTTAAAACCCGATATTAAAGGCTAGCCTTTAATAATTTAAAACGTTTTTATAAAATATAAAAAATAAATAATTATTATAATTATAAATTTTTTTTAAAATAATATCTAATAATTTTAAGTTTTAAGATTTATATTTCTTTATATAATAAATATATATAATAATATATAAATAAATATTAGATATTATATATCTAGTTTTTTATTTTAAATAAAAGTTAAATTAAAATTATATAAATTATATAAAATTATATTTTCTAATTAAATATTAGAAAATATATAAATAAATACTTTTAGTTTTAAAAATGTATTAATTCGTTTTTTTATTAAAGTTAATTCTTAAAAATCAATTATATTTATAAATCTTACTTTATAGCTTTTTTATTTTAATTATTTATATATTTATTTATTATTATATGTTTTATATTTTAAATAAAATAATTTATTATAAAATAATTTATTATAAAATAATTTATTATAAAATAATTTATTATAAAATAATTTATTATAAAATAATTTATTATAAAATAATTTATTATAAAATAATTTATTATAAAATAATTATTATAAAATAATTTATTATAAAATAATTTATTATAAAATAATTTATTATAAATAATTTATTATAAATAATTTATTATAAAATAATTTATTATAAAATATTTATTATAAAAATAATTTATTATAAAATAATTTATTATAAAATAATTTATTATAAAATAATTTATTATAAAAATAATTTATTATAAAATAATTTATTATAAAATAATTTATTATAAAATAATTTATTATAAAATAATTTATTATAAAATAATTTATTATAAAATAATTTATTATAAAATAACTAATTACTAAAGTATTAATTAATAAGATAATAATAATAATAAATATGTTAGCGGCTTATTATTATATTACTAAAATTAGAAATAAAGATATAATAAAAGAAGAATTTAAAAGAATTTAAAATTTGAAATTATTATTTTAAAGATATTTAAATATTTAATATAAAGTTTATTATATTTCTAGTAATATTCTTAATTTATAAGGCTTTAAAAACCCGAGAATTACTAATTTATAAAAAAAAATATTAAAGAAGCCTAGAATTTCTTTTATTAAATAAAGCTAAAATAATATAAAAATAAAAAAAGCTATAAATTATATTTCTTACTTTAAAAATATAGCTAGAAATATCTAGAAATATAAAAAGTAATTAATAAATATTAATATTATAAATTAAATAACTTTTATTAAATTTATAAAGAATTTTATTTTAGATTTAAAAAATTATAATAATAGTATTCTTATTAAGTTTAAGAATATAAAATAATAATTTGAAATAAATAATTTTATTATAAAAATAAAATAATCTATTTAATAATTTAAAATAAAATTTATTATTAAAAAAGTATTTTATAAAAAAAAGCTTATTTCCTTTTTTATATTAACTTATATTCGAACTATTATAAATAGTTAACTCTTAGAGCTTTTTAGAAAAAACTTTTATATAATAAATACCAAAATTTCTCTTTTCTAGGGAATTATATATCGGAATATAATTATATTCAAATCCTTAGAGCTTAGCTTGGAATTAGAGAAAGAAAGCTCGAATATCTTTCTTTATATTTTAGTAGTTTTAAGATATAAAGAGCTTTTATTATAATTTTTTAAAACTCGGAGAAAGGGTTTTTTAAAGCTTTTACTAGCTTCAAGTATATTAAAAAAAAACTTAGCCTTATATTACTCTCTTTTCCTTTTTCTTTTTATATTTTCTCTTTTATTTTCTTTTAATAATAAATAATTTCAAGACTTATTTATTATATACTAGATACTTATTACTTTTAGTCTTTCTTTATAGGCCTATAAGTATTATCTATAAGACCTATATAGCCTATATAGTCTGTATTTCTTTTCTTTATTCTTAATTTATTTAACTAGTTTCTAGAAGTAATAATATATCCGAACTACTAATTAGTATCCTGTCCTATAAAAACTTAATCTAAATACTTTCTTTATTTTCCGGTAATAATAATAGTTAATTATAGATATTTCTATAAATAAGCTAGTTCTATAGTACTAGTAATGAATTTATTAATTATTTATTATAGCTCTAGTTAATATCTTAGAAAACTCTTTTATAGATTTATTTATTATATAGCCTTCTGGCTTCTTGTTATATTTCCAGCTAGTTCTTATATATATAACTAGTCTATTTATAAATTACTATATAGCTTATAAAGCCTTCTATTTTAGTTATATAAATAATTACTTTAAAGCCTATTATAAAAAGAATAATATAATACTTCCTTTAATCCACAAGCCTCTTCTATATTTCTCTTATCTCTTTATAAATAATAATCTGCTTTACCGGGCCTTTTAGGTAAATATCTGAATATATAATTATACTTTTACCTTTATATTAGTTAAATATAAAATGAATATATAAGTTAACTTCTTTTATAAAATCTAGTACTTTCAGATTTATAATAAGTTCTTCTATTTCCAAGGCCTGCTATAATTTGCTTTATATATCGAATTCTTTTTTATATAGCTCTTTTTTTATAATTCGCTTTTTATAACTAATATATAGATTACTAACTTCTTTTATTTAGATTATATAGTTCTTTTATAGCTTATAAATATATTTACAGATTATAATTCGTTTATTATAATCTATAAAATAGCCTATAAATATCTTATAAGCTAATAAACCGATTTCTGAATCTTATTTAATTTATAAATATATTTAATTCTCGAATTAGATACTAATTATTATTATAAGAACCTTCTAATAAATAATAAGATTATATCTCTTATTTCGAATAAATATACGAATATAAGCTATTATAATCTGGTATTTATAGTCTATAAAACAGGCTATAAGTATTTATAAATATATATAATTAATATTATATATATAATATATATATTACTTTATTATATTTTATTCTTTTTATATAATGACTCGGGCTAGTACTATAGTTTATAGTTATAGGACTATAATAGAATCTATTAGTAAATATAGCTCGAATAATAAGTCTTTTACTAGTATTATCTCTATATTTATTTAGCTTTCTTTTTATTTTTTTATATTAATTACCTTTTTTAATAATATATTATTAATAAGATTACTTTACTTAACTAGCTCTATTTATATTAGTAGAATATCTATATAAATATTTATATAAGACTTATAAATACTTTAATTTATAAGAATATTTATATAAGTAATATTAGCTATTACTTTATTCTCTTATTAAGCTTTATAAATAATAATTATTTTATATAGTAATTCTTTTAGAACTCGATAGCTATTATATAATACTTTAGTAAGCCAAGCTTCTTTATTACCTTTATAGCTAACTTATATTAGCTTGAGATTATAGATTACTTTTTAAATAAATAGTAAATAATTAACTATTCGAATCTCTTTTATTAGGTCTTTATTCTAAAAATATAAGAGCTT